TATAATAAATATTTATGATCTGTGCAATCTAAGACCACAAAAATATTTATAAAATATTTAAAATACATTTTATAAATATTTATAAATATTTTGTAAATATTTTCTAAATATAGTGTGCTGTCTGCGGATTGCGACACACAATCGTGAGTACGTGTGTTGATGTTGTTTTTTTGCATATTGTTTATCGAAATTTGATACACTCGAGAGGAAGAGATAGGAACAGAGGATAAAGGAAATAATTTGCTGCAGCGACCTTATCGTTTCACGAAAACGCGTTTCCGTAAATATCTCCGTTTTCTTCCACCAATGTAGATTAACTTTAACCTCGCTGATAATTTATTTTTTTATTTTAGTTATTTTTTATTTTAACCTATCCTTTTTAAAATTAGAAAAAGAATATATTATTCATTTATCGAAATTCAACTAAATTTAATTCAAATTTGGTTTATTATTTATTATAAGTGCATACGCGTTAATATGAAGGTTGTTTACTTTGTAACTAAATAATCCAACCACAGAAATGTATTGATTTACATTTTGACTCACACATCTCTCTAAATTCTTTAGATCGAGTAGAACCTCATTCTAAAGAATGAAAATTTTGCTACTCTTTTAAGGGAATTTTCAATCTTTAAGATTTCACTCTTTAAAGTGAGATTTCTCTCCAAAGAATTTAGAGAGACGGAAGTTAAAAATAACAAAATGTGTTATTTAACTCAAGGTATTGGATTATTATTGCTGCTGCTTTGATACCTAACAGTGCGAAACCGAGATTAAAAAAATAAAGAGTAAATTAAACCGAGATAATAAATTAATCTATATTAGGAATAGGAATGGGCCATAGAGCAGCCACAGCTCCCCGTTGGAGTTTATCGCTCTCTCGCGATGCTATATTTATAATCCATTGCAACGTATTTGCATAACGCTGATCATTGTCTCCGTGATGTTTTGCATAATAAATAAAAAAAAGCGCATGTCCCTCGTTACGTGTATCGGCGCAATAAAATGTTTGCAAGTCGAGGTGAAAACATCGGTGTTACGAGACGTGTGAAAAATTACGCCATCGATCAGCGAGATCCGATATCTATCCGATAATAAACGATTGAATAATACGGCCCATTTTACAATTCGTTATCTCTGTTCCCTTGCGATTAAGATAAAATAAATTTAGAAAATTTTGTTTGGGTGTATTTGAAACGAATAAGCGTGATTGCTACTCATTTCTTTAATATATTTCCACGATATTGCTAAATAGTTTCGCTCCTTTATTTGAGGATTTAGTTGTCAAGATGATTATCATTGTGGTCTAAAAATTGGTCGCGTTCAATAGAGAAAGCAACTCTGCAACTGTCGTAAAATTCTTTAATATAATTGGTCTTGTCCTTAGTTACTCACTGAATCTAAATATATAATCATATTAACTGTTGCAAAGTTGCCAAAAGCTGTCTTCTTTGCTGAACGCAATCATTGTTTACATCAATTCTTTTAGAAAACATTAATAATATTAGAATATTATTTACAAATCGATTTTTTTAAATTAAAATAAATAAAATCTTCAAATATAAATAAATAAGTGAATAATAACACATATAACAATGAATAATAATAAATACTCTGATGAAAATAAAACGTAAAGCGAGTGTCAATAAAGCGTTATATTGGAGTGTAAAGGTGGTGTAAGGGGGAAATAATGGAAACGTGAACAAAACCCGTAAGAAGCGAAAATTGGAACATAGAACGTAAAGGAAGCGTCAATTAAACGATAAAGAAACAAATAAAACGTAGATAAGTTCTTCGGCAAACACGAGCACAATGTTTGTTGAATGTAAACGGAGCGTGATTAGGTAGTCTAGAGAACGTAAATCGTCGAGTTAGACGAACGTGAATAAAATTTGACCGAGGTTCCTGATGAGCAAATGACAATATTTTAAAATATATTTCATTTATTCGGTAAACATCCAAAAAAAATTATGCTTTTATCTTGGAGCCCTTATAAGGGTTCACTTCAAAATTATTTCATTAGAACACAATTGAAAAATCTTTCAATGTTACGTCTTTTATCCTAGTCTGTGCAGTTTTTTAAATTCGAGAAGTTAGTTCTCGTTAAATCCCTCTGGTGGCGGTGCCGTGTACTATTCAACGACGCTTCGTTTACGTTCGCTGTACAGCTCAATGACACTCCGTTTCAAAATAAATTTTTTTATTTCTATATCCTGGAAGTGTACACAAAGTATTTGAATGCTCCGTGTACTCTTTGCGAAGTGTTGTGGAACGTTTGGGAAACATTAATGAAAAAAAAATTTTTAATGTGTGGGAAATGTGACAGATGCGTTTCGAGCACACTTTACGGAGCGTTTGGGGAGAGTTCGGGGAGCGTGTATGAATATTCAAAATCACTAAGAGTCAATGAAAAGTCGATGAAGTGTTTAAGAAACGTTAAAATTCTTTGTTCACACTTCTTTGACGCTTCGACAAGCTTTACATTTTCATCAAATGCATAAATAAATAAAATCTTTGATAATTAGGACGATTTCGATTAATTTCAACAACTCCAATTAACTTAATCGGCGATTAACTCGACTGGTAGAGAATCGCTTGTAAGATAAAATTTCTGATATACAATTTATTGTTTTTAATCTATTTTTCGATCAAACATAATTCTATTAATTATTAATTACTTTAATAATTTTATTTCTATTACTTCTCGGTAAAAAAATTTTTCATTCATGAATTCTTCAAACATGTCGAATCAACGTCGATTTGACATCGATTTCATTAATTGTCGTTTTAAATCATTTGAAATCATATTTCATATATGATTATACATGCATGTTTATGAATATTTATGTATGTTTATACATATTTATATATATATATATTCATACATGAAAAAGTTTTTACCAGAATAATAAAATAATGCTGATTAAACTAATTGGAGTTTCGTCAAAAATAGCTTACTAATTTTTTATTGCCTATTTTAGAAATAAATTTCGCTATAATATATGAATGCTATCGGTTCGATTTTTTGCCGCAGGCCGGTAGTAATCGGCATTCATGTTGGAGAAAGAGAAAGAGAGAGGGAAAAAAGTTGCGGTACCAGTGTTACGTCAGCCGTTAAAATATATATTTTACATAAGCGACGAGAGATTATGCATTTCCTGTGCATGGCACAACATGGCGCAAGTATCCTTTCTCGCTTGCTTCT